TATAAGGACAGCGATTAGACTGAACTAGAGCCAACCCTAATGGCCTTATTTTAACTTATTCTCCTTTTTAAAGGCTCTGTCTCCAAATATAGTCACATCCTGAGGTACTGGTGGTTAGGGCTTCAACTATGAATTTTGCGGGAACACAATTGAGATCATAACCCTGTGTCATCTTGAGGTTGCTGTCTGTTGATTGTCATTGAGGATTTCCTGGTTCTTCATATGCTGAGTAATCTTGAATTGTATCCTGCACATTTCATATGTTACATTGGGAGACCCTTGACCTCATTTAAATCCTATTTGAAAACATAGATATTCTTGTTTTACTAGGCAATTGACCTGGTTAGGTTCAGGCTCGCTAAGTTCCAATCTGCCTTCTGCGGGCTATAGTTCCAACGTCAGTTCAGATTTTAAAGACTTTGCAGTTCCAATTAGAACTGTCACATGTGTGCCACCCAGGGGTCAGCCTGTGATGTACGCAGTTGCCTTTCTGGATGTTTGGTTCTTAAATTCTTTGAAATGCTGATTAAGATCACATCCAGGCATGGACAGTTAGGGGTGACATCTAGGAGTTCATGAGTAACTTTATGGGGTCACTTTCTTGGTCTCCTTCCTTTGCAATCTACAGATACTTGTTCCCTGGGTGTCTCCCTTTTGCTTCGTTAGCTAGAAAGCTAAGGCTTTCATTAATCCTGCCGTGATGCACATATTTGTGACTATGTACATACACATCCAGGGCCAACTGCTTGGAGGACAGAGAGAAAGTAAAAATCACCCCACCTTCTTGGAATTACAGCTCCACTGATTAGAGGAGAAGGACCCCCAACACTCTGCCCACTCAGTGGTCTCCCAAAGGGGCTGCTGCTACCACAACCATTGCATTGCTTGGGGTCTGAAGTGTGAGAAGACAGAAAAGAAAAAAAAAAGATGAGGAAAATTTACACACTCTCTTATTTCAGTGTTAGAGTTCTCTTTTCACTCCTTGAGGCAGATCTAAGGGCTTCCTCTGGAGCTCTCTGTTTGTGCTGATACTAATTTCTGGGTTTCAGGCTGCACTGTGCTCAGGCTGGGAGATATCAGAGGAAAAAAGAATGAAAAAATTGCCACTTGGTAATTTTTGGTTTGGTGGTACTTCAGATGGTGGTCTGCGTTCCCAATCTTCCCATTACTGTTTACATCTCAGGGTACTCAAGTAGCTGTTTCACACATTTTGTCCAGGTTTTACAGCTGCATTTAGTGGGAGAGGCAGAGTGGATTGTGCTTACTCCATCTTACCAGGAACCGGAAACCTCTGAAACAGAATGATATCAAAATTGAATAGGAAAAAGATGGAAACGTTTTTTGAATGCCAATGTTTAAGGCAAACAGATACAATTAGGAGAAGATGAAGATGTGGGTAGAAGTTTAAGTGAAAAATAATAATTCTGAAGGAGCCATCTAAGAATCTATAAAAGCTTTTGAAATTGAGAATACTGGTACTTGTTGTTTAATTTTAGATGAAAATGGATAGTTTCTATCTCTGGCATATGACTAGTAACTATGTTTATGCTTATAAGGAATGATTAATGTTTCAATTCACAGAAAAAAAAGAAGAGTGGGGAAGAGGAACATTCATGGGGGAATATGTGAAACAAGAGAGAAATGGAGTTTAAAAGTGTGTGTATGTATTAATATGTTTGAGTTTGATAATAAGGATAGTGAAGGACAGAAAGAGGAAAGCTGTTAGTGCTTGTGTCTCCTTAATGGGAAGAATAGAGGTCTGAGAAAAAACATGAATCATATTATTCTTTTGTAACCACGTGGTGGCACTGTTGGCATGAGACAGCTTAGTGCTGTCATTTGCAAAATAGGGTGTGTACATTCTAGGGATGTGCAAGACTATCCCTTGAGGTGGCTGAAGAAAATATTAGAACTTCAATCTCTATTTAGATTTTATTTTGAGAAAATGGAAATGAACTAAGCTTTACTAGTATTTAATATGATTGATACTGGCTCCATCACTTAATCAGTAAGGCAGATAATTCTGTGTCACATGGTCTGCAAGAGGAATGAGAGCTCTATAACTCAGAGTTTGTGGTGGCTACCTCATCTGAACATACAGTGACATATTACAGCTTATATATTCTTGGTGAAATGGATTTACGCACTACATTACTGATTATGGTAAATTAACACTCTTAAAGTGTACAAGTGACTTAAAATATTTCCTGCAAAGAAACTGCTGGTCAAAATGATCCTAATAATTCAAGCCAACAATAACAACAAAAAAATGGAAGGGCAGCATGCCCCGTCCTGGTTTGGATTCTTTTTCAGATATGTCGTGAGCTAAAAACAATGGCTATTGGTGATATGCTATCTAGCAGCATTTTTTTTTTTGACAAAATATACCCACTTAACCAGTGTTTTTGAAGTGAAAGTGATGTTTTTGACCGTAAATGAGAAAATAACGGCTTTTTGAAGAAAACTCATGCTTTGGAGAAATAATTTGGAAAACATATGTTTAAAAATATTTTCATCACTATGTGATTTTTGTTCCTAAGATTGACTGATTTATTTTACCTATAAAACTCTTATATTTCAATGTTAATAAGGCTGTGAAACTGAACTTTCTAATCTGTTTAAAAATCTTCCAAATGAAGACTTTAGGTAGGTTTTAAGACCATTTGTGAAAAATACAAATATTAAATACCTTCCATTAATTTTGTAAAAAAGTAACATTATAGAAGATGGAAATTTATTGATCAGATATCAACACTTATATATGAGTATACTTTTTCCACAAGGACCTGTGTTTCTTTGTGAAGTATATTTTTCAACTAGGCAGTTATTAAAATCAAAAACCAAAATAAATTTAGAAACAGTCCATCAAATCACTGTATCACAAAATGTTATATCCGGACTTTCAAAAACAATGGAACATGTTCAGTCATATTTCTCTTGCTAAAATTAGTGATATTAGCAATATTTTTAAGTAAGGCAAAAAAGTTTATGTCATTAATAAGTAAACTAAAATAAAATTTAACTCATATTTCTTATTTAAAGTTTATTTTTGTGCATCTTCTTATAGATACAACCCTAATTATATTTAGCACTTTATACATTTTATTGTTTACCAGGTACTGTTACAAGTGCTCTACATATATTAATTATTTTAACTCTCACAACACCTAATATATATACTAGTGTTCCCATTTAAAGAATCAGGAAGCTGAAGCAAAGGTAGGTTAAGAAACTGGCATAGGAACAATTAGCTGATATGTGACAGAATCAAGATTTATTAGTACAGTAATGCATATATTTAATTTATACATAAATTACTACATTTTTAAACCAATAAACAGACGAATAGAAGTATAGGATTAAAATTTAGAGGCAATTTGTCTAATGCTAATAGGCATGGTGGTGACATAAGAATGTGCTCACCCGTGTCCCCTGCATTGGCAGGCAGATTCTTAACCACTGCACCACCAGGGAAGCCCCCAAGAAGCCAGTCTTGGGCTCTTCAACGTGGAGTGAAAATTTAAAGATTCTTTTGGCAAGCAGTCTGAACTCAAGGCCCTTTTAGATTTTTATCATTGTTTCCCCTGAACTCTTTTTGATATTTTTTTAAAAATTATGGTAAAATGCACGTAACGGGCTTCCCTGGTGGCACAGTGGTTGAGAATCCGCCTGCCAATGCAGGGGACATGGGTTTGAGCCGTGGTCTGGGAAGATCCCACATGCCACAGAGCAGCTAAGCCCGTGCGCCACAACTACTGAGCCCATGTGCCGCAACTACGGAAGCCCACGTGCATACAGCCTGTGCTCCACAACGAGAGAAGCCACTGCAATGAGAAGCCTGTGCACTGCAACGAAGAGTAGCCCCCGCTCTCCGCAACTAGAGGAAGCCCGCGCGCAGCAACGAACACCCAACACAGCCAAAAATAAATAAATTTATAAAAAATTTAAAAAAAATACTTAAAAAAATGCACATAACATAAAATTTACCATCTAAACCATTTTCAAGTGTATAGCTCAATAGTGTTAAGTATATTCACATTGTTGTGCAAGCAATCTCCAGAAAGTTTTAATCTTGCAGAACTGAAACTACATAGCCATTAAACAACTCTCCATGTCTCCTTCCCCCTAGCTCCTAGAAACCACCATTATATTTTTTTTTTTACTTTTTGGCTGTACCTCAGGGCATGTGGGATCTTCCCCGACCAGGCATCGAACCCGCACCCCTGCAGTGGAAGTGCAGAGTCTTAACCGCTGGACTGATAGAGAAGTCCCCATTGTATTTTCTGTTCCTGTGACTTTGACTACCTAGATACTTCTTATAAGTGTAATCAATCACACAGTATTTGTCTTTTTGTAATTGGCTTATTTTACTTAGCATAATGTCTTTTAGGTTTAAACAGGTTATATAGCACGTGTCAGAATTTTCTTTTTTATGGCTGAATAATATTCTATTGTATGTTTACATCACATTTTGTTTATCCATTCATCTGTCAGTGGACACTGGCTTGTTTCCACCTTTGGGCTATTGTGAATAGTACTGCTAGGACAATGAGTGTACAAATATCTCTTCAAGACCATGCTTTCTTTTGAGTGTATCCCCAAATGTAGACTTGGTGGATCATATGGAAATTCTACTATTAATTTTTTGAGGAACCGCCATGCTCTTTTCCACAGTGACTGCACTATTTTACATTCTCATTAATAGTGCACAAGGGTTCTGATTTCTTTACATCCTTGTCAACAGTTGTTCCTTCTTTTTTTTTTTTTTTCCTTTTTATAGTAGCTACCTTAATGGGTGTGAGGTGGATGTCTCATTGTGGGTTTTTTTTTTTCTTCCATGCCACGAGGTGTGTTTTATTTTCATTAATCATACAAATAATTTTCTATCATAGCCCAGGGCAAACCGAGAATTTAGCAGTCCGATTGAAGGGTCCCCTCAGACACCCATGGGCCAGTGGCATCGGCACGGGGTGCCCAGGTTCACAGTGCAGCTTGTTGCTCGTGTCCATCTTGCAGGTGGCTCTTCCTCCACATCATGACTAAGGTCTCCAAGATGATGGGGGTGGAGAATCCTCCAGGTTCTTAGGAAATTTCACTTCGCTTGCTTCTCCTGCTCAATGGTCTCTTTGGTTGGCAGGGTGTTCTTCTCCTGCGTCTCCATCGTCTTTAGCTTGGCCTTATTGAAGCCGGCAATTTCCGCCATGTCGGGCTTGTCTGCCATTTCTTAAAGCAGTCCAAGAACTGTCACTCCAAGCCCGTGGTCTAGGTGCTCCCACTCGTGTCACTGCAGCAGGAGACTCATTGTGGTTTTGATTTGCATTTCCCTAATGACTAGAGATGTTATATATCTTTTCATGTACTTATTGGCCATTCATGTATCTTCTCTGGAGAAATGTCTATTCAGGTTCTTTACTCATTTTTGAATCAGGTTGTTTTTGTTACTGTTGTTGTTCTTAAATCTTAGGAGTTGTCTGTATATTTTGGGTTTTAACTCATTGTCAGATATATGGTTTGCAAATATTTCCTCCCATTCCATGAGTTGTCTTTTCACTCTGTTGATTGTGTCCTTGATACACAGACGTTTTAAATTTTGATGTAGTCCAATTTATCTATTTTAACTTTGGTTGGCTGTACCTTTGGTGTCATATCTGATGGGGTTCAGAACATGCTACACTAAAGTATGGCACCTTGGCATATTTAATCTTTTAAGTTGAAGGAGTTTGAGAAAACAGCAGAAGTAGGAAGGTTACTTTGACCCTCCCCTAACCTTTCACCCATGAAGTAGGTCATAAAGTCCTTATGTGAGAAGTGGTCTCCCTATATGAAGCAAAGGAGTATCCTTATCTCCAAAGACAACGGGATGCCACCAAAAATCCAAATAGGCCTTGCTAAGTTACCCCCAGTTTACTATACTCACCTAATACTCCTTGTCCTATTATATTTCTCCATGACTAGACACTCTTCATCAAACCTAGCATAAAAATACTCAGGTTTAACTGTTTGTTCAGATCTTGATTTCCTTATATTAAATAAATGTGTATGCTTTCTCCTGTTACTCTGTCTTGGTCAGTTTAATTTTCAAACCTAGCCAGGGATCCCAAGAAGGTGGAGGAAAAATTTTTTTCCCCTAAATTTGCTAGAAATTACTGCCAAATGCAATGTCATGAAGCTTTTACTCTGTGTTTTCTTCTAAGACTTTTATAGTTTTTGCCCTCAGATTTAGATCTTTGATCCGTTTTGAGTTAATTTTTGTGTATGGTGTAAGGTAAGGGTACAACTTTGTTCTTTTGCATGTGGATATCAGTTTTCCCAAAATCGTTTTGAAAATGCTGTCTTTTTTCCCATTGAATGGTCTTGGCTCCCTCATCAGGAATCAAGTGACTGTGATTGTAAGGGTTTATTTCCGGGCTCTCTAATTCTATTCCATTGGTCTAGCTGTCTGTATTTATACAAATACCACATTGTTTTGATTATAGTATCTTTGTGGTAAGCTTGAAAGACGTTTAACTTGTTCTTTTTCAAGATTGTTTTGGCTACTCAAGCTCTCTGTTTTACCATTACAACACAGTTATGAAGAGGGCAAAATGTGCAAAACATATATGAGGATTCATCATTTTTTCCCCAATAATCTTAATTTTTTGTTATTCAAATCATTTTCTGTGAAGTCTTTGAAGTTGCTATTGTATCATCAGCCTTGTAAATTTATCTTCTTCATTTGTTCACTGGAGTAACTCTTCCAGATTCTCTCATATGAGTGGCTTTGCAAGTGTTTTAACTGTGCTTTGACATCATGAAATCCTGCATCTTTTGCTAGATGTGCAATTCTATCCTGAAGTAGATTTGCTCTTGTATTTCATGGTGCTAATAGAGGTTTACATATGATAACCAGTGAATGCTGCCTCAGTTGTCACAATGGATTAGGAGATCTTTGTTTTAAGTAGGGAGGGATGTTTAAGTGGAGACTAATTTTTATAAATTGTCAGTTTTGTAGTGAATATTTTTACAGAATTAAACTCTGTGAATTTGGTGATTTTGATGGTAAACACTCAGATAAAGATAAGTTGTCATGGTTGAGGCTATGGGAATGGCTGTGTTCTTCAGAGTAAAGTGCTTTGGGAGAGCTGGAAAGAAAATCAAAGTACTCATGAGGCCACTAACTTTTAGAGGGTTGAGGACAAAAATATTTGAAGTTCCTGGGAATGAGTTTTCAAGGAATTATGATAAGAATTGGACTAATTTAAAAAAGCAGGTCTTTAATGCATTTTGAGTTTACTTTTGCTTGTGGTGTTAGGGAGTGTTCTAATTTCATTCTTTTACATGTAGCTGTCCAGTTTTTCCAGCATCACTTATTAAGAGATTGTCTTTTCTCCACTGTATATCCTTGCCTCCTTTGTCATAGATCAATTGACCATAGGTGCGTGGGTTTATCTCTGGGATTTCTATCCTGTTCCATTGAACTATATTTCTGTTTTTCTGCCAGTACCATATTGATTACTGTAGCTTTGTAGTATAGCCTGAAGTCAGGGAGTCTGATTCCTCCAGCTCCGTTTTTTTCCCTCAAGACTGCTTTGGCTATTTGGGGTCTTTTGTGTTTCCATACAAATTTTAAACCATAAAAAGGAATGAAATCCAGTCATTTGTAGAGATGTGGATGGACCTAGAGACTGTCATACAGAGTGAAGTAAGTCAGAAAGAGAAAAACAAATATCGTATATTAACACATATATGTGGAATCTAGAAAAATGGTACAGAAGAACTGGTTTGCAAGGCAGAAATAGAGACACAGATGTAGAGAACAAACGTATGGACACCAAGGGGGGAAAGCAAGAGGGGGTGGTGGTGGTGGGATGAATTGGGAGATGGGGATTGACATATATACACCAATATGTATAAAATGGATAACTAATAAGAACCTGCTGTATAAAAAATAAAATAAAATAAAATGCAAAAAAAGAAATAAAAATACAAAATAAATAAAAAAACCAGGTATTAAATAAATAATGAAGAGAATTTCAGATTAGTTTCTCAGGAAGACTGATTGCTGAGGAAAGAGAAATACGAGATGTGGAATTCTTCTGTAAGAAGGAAAGAGGAGAATACAGTTGATAGATGCAAAAGGACTTTGGGTTTCAATTTCTTTTAAAATAAAGCGGGAGGTTAGAGATGTGTCTCCCATTGAGCTCCCATTGTCACACACTTTCATATTTTTATGCATAGACTTTTGCAGAGGCACAATTAGAGACCATACAAAGCTTTACATTTTTGAATGTATACTTGAACATGGTTCCATCTCCATTTTCTCTGTGCTGTAAATTACTCCTGCAGGGCATTTGTCACAGCTGGCATCCACCCACCTTGATATTAGTTAATAACAGCTGAGAGTATTTCCCCTCAGAACTATTTGCAATTTAATGAGGGATTATAGAAATTTAATAGAATGATATACAAAAGAAAAGTTATAAATATATAATGGTGGCATTTCAAGCACATTTATAAAGTCATATTGTTTTATTCATTCTCCACTCATTTCTGTTAAGGGTATTTATTGAGTTATGTGCTAGTTACAGTGTTAGACCTAGAACACAAAAATAATCAAGTCCTTAAGAAGTTTGCTATCTAAGTAGTTCTCAACCAGAAGGCAACAATACTATTGTCTTCATGTTTGAACATATCTGGGGGCAGTTTGGGTTGTTCCATTGACTTGGGGGACATTATTGGTATTTAGTGGGCAGGGACACTCTGGAAAGATTTGCACAAAGAAGAATTATCCAGCTCTAACCAGTGGTGTCTCCACTGATAAACAAATGCTAGAATAAGAATAATACTAGTAGTAATGATTTATTATATACCTGCGCTGTGTTAACCACTTTATCTGCATTGTCTAATTTAATCTCACCTTGACACTTTGGAGTAAATACTATCTCCATTTTCCTGAATAGCTGAAAGGATAAAGAACTTTCTCAAGGCTACACTGCTAAGTAAATGGCAGAACCAGATTTTAAACAGTGTCCTAGATTAGACCCTGGAACCTACAGTCTTAATAACTGGACCATAGAGCTTCTTAAGCTAAAGATAAAACGGAACCTGGAGATCATGCTTGAGCAACCCAGAGGGCACAGACTATGATTTATTCATCTCTCTTCCTTATACCTAGTACAAAGACTGCTGTAATGCTTCTCCTTTATATGTCATTTTATTTAGTTTAATCCTGCTCATTTTTATAGATAAAGAAAACTGAAGTTCAGGAAGGTTAAACCCTTGTAGTATGTGGCAGAGCTGAGATTAGAATCCAAGGAAAGTAGTCTAGCCACCATGGAACACAATTACGACAGTTACTCAAAAAATGAAAAATAAAAACTACCATATGATCTGGCAACCCCACTTCTGGGAAATAAGCTAAAGGAAATGAAGTCAATATCTTGAAGAGCTATCTGTACCCCCATGTTCATTGCAGCATTGTTTGCAATAGCCAAAAAATAGAAGAATCTGTGTCAATTGACAGATGAATGGATAAAGAAAATATGGTGTACACACACACATATATATATATATATATATACGATGGAATATTATTCAGCCATGAGAAAAGGAAATCCTGCCATTTGTGACAACATGGATGAAGCTTGAGGGCACTATGCTAAGTGACATAAGTCAGATAGAGACAGACAGATATTGTATGATCACGCTTAGAGGTGGAATCTAAAGAAGCCAAATTCATATTGTCGCCTGGGGTGTGGGGGGGATGGGGAGATGTTGGTAAAAGGACATAAACTTAAAAGGTTACTAAGTTCTAGGGGTCTAATGTATAGCATGGTGACTATAATTAGCAATACTGTATTGTAGGCTTGAAAGTTGGTAAAGGAGTAGATCTTAAATATTTTGATCACACAAAGAAAGAAAATGGTAATTATATGAGGTGATAGATGTGTTATCTAACCTTATTGTGGTAATTCTTTCATGATATATACATGTATCAAATTATCACGTTGTATACATTAAACTTACACAATGTTATATATCAATTATATTTCAATAAAGCTGAAAAAATATAGAGAAGGGATTTGACAATTTGGCAGCAGCTTATCTCTCTTAGTTTATCCACTTTCCTAGTCCCTCAGTCCCTGGTGTCTGTTTACACCGTATGTTGGCAAACTTTTTTCTGTAAAGGGCCAGGTAGTGAATACTTTAGGCTTTGCAAATTATATGGTCTCTGTCACAACT